AAAGACGAATTTCCCAACCCCCAAAAGTCTGTACCCCATATTGAGTCAACCCCACAACTTCCCATAGTCACCACAACCAAATATCAAAAGCATACGAACTCCAACGTTCGTAACTTTCTTGTTCGTGCTCCGATTGAAGCGATACTTGGTTCGTCGGAAAGCTCTTGAGCAGAGGAGTCAATTCAGATATCTGCTCAAGCCAAATAACATTCACACACACTCAGAAAAACCAAACCGCACAAAACACAAATTCTTGCACACACTCACAACACGCATGCAACGCACGAACATATGATGGGAGGCAGACAGACGTGAATGCGAATGGTAGCATCACTCAACAGAAGGCGATATAACCTCTGCTGGAGGTTGCCGGGCTGAAGGGCTTCGCCGACAACACCGTGCCAATTCCGCCTGTGGAGAATGTCGAGTTGCGTGCTGCTCACTTGCTCACCTTCATGGTCATCTTGAGGTGCTGCTCGCCGGTGGTGCAGCTAGCGCTCATGAGCTGTCGAGAGCGACTGGATGCTGGTCACCAAGCCTGGCACTTCATCCTGTTGACGTACCAGGTGAAGGACGACCTGTACATCGGGCAGCTGGAGAAGAAGATGACACACATTCGAATGGGCGAGTAGGATTCGGCGACGGGCTACAGCAACCGTGACCGACGGATCCTGGCTGAGATGCGGATGGCGGGCGCCGAATACTCTACGACGTCCTACATAACCCACGTCCTCAAGGGCCTGCTGCGCAGCTACAATCTCATGAAGCGGATGACGATGGTGCCGGGCACACGCGAGTCCCTCAACGAGGACTCCCTCACCAACTACATCCTCCAAGATGAGGCGATGCAGGAGGCAGAACAGCCCACGGAGCTCCTTCCGCAGGCAAGTTACGCTGCACCGACGAAGCAGAATCGTCAGCAGGAGCAGCGTGGGAAGCTGGGCGGAGGTAGTAGTGGAGGCGGGCACTCGGTGAAAGACATCGACAAGAAGAGATCGACGCGGGAGTGCTGGATTTGCCACGACCCCGACCATCTCTCCTACGAATGCCCCGAACGCGATGACAACGATGAGGACGACACCAAGGGAGGCCGCGGTCGATCGACCAGTCGTCGCCCACGTTGAGATGCAAAGCCACGCAAGGAGAAGCAGACGTCGAAGAAGGACGTCGACAACTCCAGCGGAAGGCCTCGTGCGTAGTGGAGCCGACAGTCTCGTTGGCGTCGGAAGCTGGCGAGGACTTCCAGATGGTGGCGGCAGCTGTGCAGGCAAACCCGATGGTGGTGCTGCTCGACAGCGGTTGCTCCCACCACCTGATGGGGACGAAGGCGGTCTTCGTCGACATGGCGCCGAGCGACGGTGTGATGCACGTGCGTGGATTCAACGGGGCACTGCAGCCCGTCAAGGGTCGCAGAATCGTCGCTCTGCAAAGGGAGGCAGAGAAGCGGGTCCTCATCCCCGACGTGCTCTACGTTCTGGGCGTCCAGGCGAACCTGCTATCTGCTGGCCAGCTGAAGGAGAGCGGAGTGCACCTGCATGGCGACGACGACGAGATGCTGCTTGTCGCTACGACCGGGGAGGTGCTCGGTCGAGCACGCTACACCGGACGAGTCCTCTACACCGACCTTCGCCCCTGCTCGACGCGATCGCCGTCGACCGAGGTGGTGGCTCTGCGGACAATCGTCTCAGCGACGAAGTTGACCCCTGATTGCTTGCATGCGAGGCTCGCACACGTTGGTGTCGACACGATCAAGAGCTCGGCGAACCTTGAAGTTGCTATTGGGCTTGACATCACGCCGTCGACCGGAGTAGACCCGCCGTGTGTCTCGTGCGTCGGAGGAAAGGTGGGGCGGCACACCTTCCCTGCCAAGGGGTCGGACGCCGAGGAAGCACCGGCTGTCGTGCACATTGACTTGTGCGGGCCGTTTCGGGTGGCTGCCAAGGATGGCAGCTTGTACTTCTTGCTGCTAAAGGATCAACGCATTCGGTTCGTGTGGGTGATGCTGGTCGCTAAGAAGAGCGACGTGCTGCGGGAGTTCCAGAGGTGGCTGGTGCTGGTGGAACGGCAGACGAATCAGTTGGTGTTGTCGCTTTGCTCAGACCGGGGAGGGGAGTTCCTCGAAAAGGATTTCACAAACCTCGTGAACGGGAAGGGCATCTTCCACGACCTGACATGCCCCTACACTCCGCAGCAGAACGGCATGGCTGAGCAGGAGATGCGCACGGTCGTCGAGTCCATGCGGACGATGCTGCTGCACATGGGCATGCACCACCACTGGTGGCACCTCGCTCTATGACAAGCTGTCTGGGTGCGCAACTGCTTGGAGCGGTCGACGACGCTGCAGGGGACGACTCTGTACCAGGAGCTGACCGGGAAGAAGCCCGACCTCACGCTGGCGTGGGTGTGGGGCTGTATGGTGCAGTTCATGGTTCCCAAGTAGCAGCGCGGTGGGAAGCTGGCACGGAAAGCTCACTGAGGGCTTCACCTGGGTGTGTCGCAGGAGAGCAAGGGCTGGGAGGTGCTGGGCCTGACCGATAACAAGGTGGTCACGTCGGTCGAGGTGATCTTCTACGAGACGCTGTCGCTGGAGGTGTGGAAGGCGAAGCATGGGCCGTCGTCGGGGCGGACGCAGGCACACCTCGACGGCGACGGGTCGACGGGCACCTCGACGGCGACGGCTCTCTTGCTCGCCGAAGTCGACGAGCCCGCTGATGAGGATGTTGAAGAGGTTCTTCCACCCGCCATGTTCTTGCTCCTCACTCCCCCGTCGCCGATCGGCCTGCGTCGACACCTGTGTCGACCACCGGCGATGAGGGGAGCCTTGAGGCGTCGCCTGTGGCGCCGGCCGGTGGCTCGCTGGCGGTTGACAAGTCGCCAAGCTCGTCGACCAGGATGGGAAGCCGTCGATAGCAGGGGAGCAGTAGATAGGGGAGCCGGTCGAACAGGAGGCAACAACAGGGGTTCAGTCAACAGGGGAGCTGCCGAAGCCAGCAGTTGGTTAGCAGCTGGTCGACGACGAGGACGTCGACGAGGAAGGGGAGCAGTCGGCGGGTGAGGAGTCCACCGACAGCGACGTGGTGGAGGTGCTGATCACGAAGCCTGAGCTGCGATGCACAGGTCGAGCTCGACGGCCGCCGGAGCGGCTGAGCTTCCACGCCTGCCTACCGCCACCTGCCTTCACCACGGTGTACGACGAGGTCGATGACGACCTGTTGTACGACGACGCCGAGGAGGATGAAGAGCTGCTGGAGCTCGAACCCGACGTGCATGCCGACCCCGAACACTGCTGAGACATCGCCACGATGATGGCGAAGGAGGCGCTGGCGAGCTTGAAGGGCAAGGCGGTGAAGGCCGCCATGGAAGAAGAAATCTGCAGCCTCATCGGCATGGGCACATGGGAGCTGGTCGAACGCCCACGAGGGGTGAACATCATGAAGAACCGCTGGGTGTTGACAATCAAGTACTGCATCGACAACATCGTCGAGCGCGAGAAGGCGAGGCTGGTTGTGAAGGGCTTCACGCAGGTGTACGGTGCCGACTACGACGAGACGTACTCGCCCGCGAGCAGCTACGTCACGCTGAGGATCTTCCTCAGCATAGTTGCCGTCCTCGACCTCAACCTGATGCAGCTCGACATGAAGAACACTTTCCTACAGAGCAAGCTCGACCGGGTACTCTATATGTACCAGCCGGAATACTTCGATGATGGGCGGTCGAGTCCCGAAGACACCGGTCTCGGTCGACGCCTACACTGAGCTGACGTTCGACAACGAGGAGGCAAAGGAGCGCGAGGAGGAGGAGTACCGGCAGAAGGTTGGCTCGCTGGAGTTCGCGGCGACGACGACGAGGTCGGACATCGCGTTCGCCTGCAGCAAGCTGGGGAGCGGTCTCACGGTGAGGAGCGACCAGCATTGGCACGAGGTCGACCGCTGCCTCGCCTTCCTTGCTCACACCCGCGACACCGCCCTGGAGTTCGGTGGTGGACTAGAGTCTCTGGAGCTGATCGGCTATATGGATGCCGACGACGCGGGCGACAAGTAGAAACGGACGAGCACGGGCGGCTACGCGTTCGTCTACGAAGGGGCCGCTGTCTCCTGGTCGAGCTCGCGCATCAATTTCGCGACGCTCTCCTCGACCGAGTCGGAGTACGTCGCGGCCACAGACGCCGACAAGGAGGCGCGTCGACTTCGCTTCCTCCTTGCAGAATTCAAGCAGCTCGATGCTGGGAAGCAAACTCTCCTCCGTGTGGACAACAAGTCGTCTATCACGGTCGCTGAGGGCCTGAGACTGACGGGCAACCTCATGCACATGGAGCGATGCTACGCGTGGCTACAGCACATGGTGAGGCGCGGGAAGTTCGTGCTGAAGTACATCCCGACCACCGAGCAGCCGGCTGACTTCCTGACGAAGGCATTGCACTTTCCGGCTTTCAACCGGTGCTCTATTGCCATCGGCCAAGTTCGCATGGCCGACGTCATCGACGGCGACGATGATGTGCAGTAGTAGGTGCCGTGCCCTTCTGCACGGCTGGTGCGGTGACGACGTGCTGTGTGTGGGTGTACGGCGAGGACGAGTATTCTTCGTGGAGTACTGCCGTTTGGGCTGGAGGCCCAAGCATGAGCGCAGCAGGGGAGTGTTAACGGGAGTGGATGAGCAAAGGGCGACCTCGAACATGTTCGAGTTCGCCCCCTGTCGAACATCGCATTCTACCTTACCGGACAGGGTTCGGTTCGGCGAACGATTTGGGCGAAAACAGGTGTTCGCCGTTCGCCCTAGGGGGCGAACGAATTGTTGCAGCAGGTGAACTCAAACATGTTCGAGGCGAACATGTTCGAGTTCGCCAAGAGGGAAATTCGATATAGTCTCAGAGGTAATAAAAGCGGATTGAAGGGTCAGGATGATAGAAAGGGGTTTGCAGGGTGTATATGTGTTCATGCAACGCACCCAGAACTACAACACTATCATGTTTGCGTAACGAAATGTCAATGTCAAATAAATTCCTACGCCTGAGCGCCACTGCTACTGCCAACAACACCATCCTCCCCACCAGCTGTGTCGTCAGCCTCCACACCCTCCTCCTCCTTCACCTTCTCCTCGTCCTCGTCGTCGTCCTCCTCCGCCCCCTCGCCTTTAATGACGAACTCTGGTGGTGCGACGCCTCTCGATCGGCGGCCCTCGCCTATCCTCTGGCCAGGGTGTGAACTGTACCATGATCTGAGAATCATGACAGCTCGCGTCCTCTGAGAGGCCAGGCGGTGCCGCTTCCAGGAAATGAGGTTGCGGCCAAGGGAGAACACGCGCTCGCTCGAAGCGGACGTGGCAGGGATGGCGAGATAATCCCGTACCATGTGCCTTAGCGTCTGCATGTTGGTGGCGGTGTGCCAGTACTCCAACGCTGTCACGTCGTACCGCACCCTCTCGGACAAGTACCTGCTAACCTCGTCATCCTGCACCATCCCACCCCTCCCTGACTCTTGGCTCGCTGACAGACGCGCCGCAAGTCGTCGGCGACTATAGGGAGAAACTGCGCGTCATCGTCGTCATCCGCCTCGTCTCCCTCCTCCTCCTCCGTCACGGGGGCAAGTGGGGTCGGCCGGGGAGCAAGCTCTGCAGCCCGGGCCTGGTACTCGGCCACGCGGTCGCGTACCAGCTGGACCACCTCGCCAGACGCGGGACGCGGCCTCACCCTCCGGTCGGTCTCGGGATGCAGCTTCTCCCAGTGCGCATCGTCTAACTACACCGACTTCATGGAAGGGTCCAGGAAGGTGGCGATCCACAACTCGTTGCTGGACATGTAGGCATACTTCCTCAAGAGACCCAGTGCCGCCTCGATCATCGGCTTTCGCGTAGCCGATGGCCCCTTGGCAAGGTGCGACTCCATAGCGTCGATCAGGCCGTTGTAGTACGGCACCACCATCGCCACTGTAGGGTACGCTGCCCCCTCAACTGCCTTTGAGACTTTGGCGAATATGCTGAGGAACGTCTTGATAGCTTGCAGAGTCTCCCAGTCTGCGTCCGTCAGGCGCATGCTCTCCACCTTCTTCTTGTCGGCCTTTGACAAGCCCTGTCGGGTAGAGGGTATGGTTTGGCGGGTGGTAAGAGGGAAACCGGGGTTATTGAGGATGTTGGGGTCCGGTAACATCCAAGCTCGACCAACAGTGTTGTGTAGAAGTGGGAAAGCACAACACCCTGACATAACCACACATTAAACCCCACACACAACACCTATCACACCTGTGTCTGGGCAAAGAAGACAGTGATGGGGTTCTGCAGAACCCCAGCTCGCTCGACCATGTCGTGGGTCGACCCCCAGCGCGTACTGTCCTGCACCAGCTTCAACGCCGGCTTCGGTTTGGCGGGGTTGGCCTGCGTGTTCAAGGTCCGTTGTAGGCCCAAGAACTTCTCTGAGTGCTGCGGCGAGAAGCCAATCTACGACGCCATCTCTCTTGGAATCTTCAACAACTTGCATATGGAATCCACAGCGAGAGCTGCCTTCACTGCAAGGTTGATCACATGTGCCAAGCACCTGCGCACGGAACACAACATTAATGGCAGAGAGAAGGGGAAGTGTGAGTACACATTGTCAGAGCGAGCCACAAACCCATACCAGACCCCACACACCCTACAGCTCAAGCCGCACTGGCCCACCCCCTCATACAATCACAAGTTGTCCATGCGGGAACAACACGCCCACACTCACACACAACCAGCCCACGCACACTCACGCCCACACTTACCGGAAGTGCATGCGCGAGTTGTGGAAGCACTGACCACCACCCTCCTCCAACATCCGCTTGAAGGCGGCAATGTTGCTAGAGGCGTTGTCTGTTGTGAAACCAGGACAACGCCCCTCCAACCCCCACTACACCATCGTCTCCTCAACCACCCTCGCCATCTCCTTGCCCCCACGCCACCCGTGCATCTCGCGGAACTCAAGCACAATTGTGCGCAGCTGAAAGTTCTCGTCTATCCAGTGACCTGTCACCACTAGCCATGCCTTGTTGTTGGGTGCCGTCCACATGTCGATGGTGAACGACACCTTGCACCCCAACTCCCCCTCCTTCGCCAGCATCTCCACTATGGCAGACTGGAGAGCGGCTGCCGCAGAGACCACGGTGTCGCGGGATACCGTCCAGTGCGAGGGGATGAAGTTCTTCTGCGCACGGTTGCGGTTTAGCAGGATCAATAGCTCCCGAAACTGGAGGGGAAAAGAGACAACGAGGGAGAGGGTTGTTAACGTCAAGGGGATGGGTTTGAGAGAAATAGGCACACGCTTACAATCAAAACACCAAATGGTCCACCACTTCCACATACTGCCCAATCTCCTTCATACATCATGCATGGGATGAGGGGCACTCACAGCCTCGGCCTCGACGATGCGGAAGGGGAGGTCGCAGGTGACCACCAGCTTGGCGATCGCCTGCCGTAGCTCCACCGTGGTCAGCTTGGTAGTCATGAACCGCTCGATCCCGCCTGACCCCTGAGCTCCATCAGACGCCTTCCATTTCTTCTTGGCGAGATGCGGCCAAGACTTGGCATGCGGCCACCGATCGACGTAGCCATCCGGCACACCCTTGTAGCCCCCACGAGGAAACGTCTCCCTCGGCAAGTGAACGGACAGGGTGTGGTAATGGTGATGCCACACGTGCATGTGCGCTGTGTGATAGCTCTCAAAGTGCCGCTCGCCGGGTGTTGTTGTGGATTGCTTCCACGAAATCCTGTTAGTGCAAATCTTGCACTGACGCTTCTCGTCTGACCCTTTCAGTACGAACATCTGTACTTGCCACCCTGGTTTCCTATTACCCTTGCCAGTCCCCTTACTACTCTCGGACCCTCCGTCCTCGTCTAGGAACTCCGGAGCGATTACTCCCGCTCCCTCAACTTGTTCGCCCTCTTCCTCCGATTCGGCCACGCAATGGACGCGGGCTTCCTCCCCACCTTAACCCCCACGCTCCCTCCGCCTTCACCCACATGCTGTGAGGCCGCCTCTGTCGCCGCCCCTCCACCACCCTCTCCCACCTCCTCCTCCACCTCCTCTAGCTCCAACCACTCTCGACGTCAGGCTCATCTACGTGGCTAACTTAACAGCTACCCTATTACTTCACGGCTACGTAGACGTGCATCATGCGGGAGATGTTGACAATAGACTTTCCCGCACAGGCTTCATTTTTCAACTCCAACCTGCTGGACGTGTCTCTTGGAACTCCCGAAAGCAGGAGCTCTTCTCTCTTTCGTCAGGCAAAGCTGAGGTCATCGCCAGCAACGCAGCTGTTCGCAAAGGGTTGTACCTGATGGAGCTCTTGCAAGAAGCGAAAGTGACGATGAACGGGCACTTCACGTTAATGTGCGATAATTAGAGCTCGACCAAAATCGCGAACAAACCTGGCTTCGTGAACCGCACGAAGCATATCGCACACCGTTACTTCTTTGTCAAAGACGAGATCGACAAGGGCAAAGTCAAACTCACGTATTGCCCAACTGGTGATATGGCAGCTGATTTCTTGACGAAGAAACTGCCACGTCAGAAGTTTCAGAACTGCTCCGACCTCTAGGGGATCTCGAAGAAATTCCACGTGGCTCACCTTCATGAATGAAGGGGGGTGTTGGAATAACCAATGGTTATGACAGCATTTCCGAAGCCTTCACGTAGCGCATTTCCTCGTATCGAGGCATCGCACTTGTACCACTATCGCATTAAGCTCATATAGAGCTCGCGGCAGCTCGAGAGTCACCCGAAGGTCAACAGTCGCAGGTAGTCAACGGTCGCGACTGTTGACCACCCAGTAACCGTACTCGGAGGTTACACGATGTAACTTGGTAACTGTCGAGTGGAGCAATAGTCGCGGTTACTGTAGCAATGCAATGCAGTTCATAAGGGAATGTACCCCGCAGAGTACCTACATGGCTAGCTAGGTTTGCTACTTATATTGTTGCACACCTATCTTAGAATCATCTTGTTCTATAGGAATCTCTTCTGCTGACGCGCTGGGTGAGTAGCAGGAGGGAGGTCGTGGGATCCATGTGGGATCCATGTGGGATCCATGTGGGATCCATGTGGGATCCATGTGGGATCCATGTGGGATCCATGTGGGATCCATGTGGGATCCATGTGGGATCCATGTGGGATCCATGTGGGATCCATGTGAGATCCATGTGGGATCCATGTGGGATCCATGTGAGATCCATGTGAGATCCATGTGGGATCCATGTGAGATCCATGTGGGATCCATGTGGGATCCATGTGGGATCCATGTGGGATCCATGTGGGATCCATGTGGGATCCATGTGGGATCCATGTGAGATCCATGTGGGATCCATGTGAGATCCATGTGAGATCCATGTGAGATCCATGTGGGATCCATGTGGGATCCATGTGAGATCCATGTAGGATCCATGTAGGATCCATGTGGGATCCATGTGAGATCCATGTGGGATCCATGTGAGATCCATGTGGGATCCATGTGGGATCCATGTGGGATCCATGTGGGATCCATGTGGGATCCATGTGAGATCCATGTGAGATCCATGTGGGATCCATGTGGGATCCATGTGGGATCCATGTGAGATCCATGTGAGATCCATGTGGGATCCATGTGAGATCCATGTGGGATCCATGTGGGATCCATGTGAGATCCATGTGGGATCCATGTGGGATCCATGTGGGATCCATGTGAGATCCATGTGGGATCCATGTGAGATCCATGTGGGATCCATGTGAGATCCATGTGGGATCCATGTGGGATCCATGTGAGATCCATGTGAGATCCATGTGGGATCCATGTGGGATCCATGTGAGATCCAAGTGAGATCCATGTGGGATCCATGTGGGATCCATGTGAGATCCATGTGGGATCCATGTGGGATCCATGTGAGATCCATGTGGGATCCATGTGGGATCCATGTGGGATCCATGTGAGATCCATGTGGGATCCATGTGAGATCCATGTGAGATCCATGTGAGATCCATGTGGGATCCATGTGGGATCCATGTGAGATCCATGTGAGATCCATGTGGGATCCATGTGGGATCCATGTGAGATCCATGTGGGATCCATGTGGGATCCAGGTGAGATCCATGTGGGATCCATGTGGGATCCATGTGGGATCCATGTGAGATCCATGTGGGATCCATGTGAGATCCATGTGGGATCCATGTGAGATCCATGTGGGATCCATGTGGGATCCATGTGAGATCCATGTGAGATCCATGTGGGATCCATGTGGGATCCATGTGAGATCCATGTGAGATCCATGTGGGATCCATGTGGGATCCATGTGAGATCCATGTGGGATCCATGTGGGATCCATGTGGGATCCATGTGGGATCCATGTGGGATCCATGTGGGATCCATGTGGGATCCATGTGAGATCCATGTGGGATCCATGTGGGATCCATGTGGGATCCATGTGGGATCCATGTGGGATCCATGTGAGATCCATGTGGGATCCATGTGGGATCCATGTGAGATCCATGTGAGATCCATGTGGGATCCATGTGGGATCCATGTGGGATCCATGTGGGATCCATGTGGGATCCATGTGGGATCCATGTGGGATCCATGTGGGCCAGGAGAGGCAGCTGCGTCGCTGCCGCATTTACGCGCTCCCAAATGAAGGCGGAGCGGAGCATTGAATGCCAGTGAGGACGAGGTGGAGGGATGGGCGTCCAGATAAGTCCAAGCAGCGACGCTTGGTATGAATGCCTCTGCCAAGCCAGGGATGGCGACGTCAAATTGCAGCAATGCCAAGTGTGATTTCGCTCCTGCTGATGTGAGGAAAGGGGTCACTTTCCTAATGAGGAGGTGAAGGCATGCACTGACAAGCGGCGTGTATGATTTCCTCTGCCCCGCCCGGGATGGCGACACCACATCGCAGCGATGCCAAGTGTGTTTTTGCTGCTACTGGCTCAAGGCGGAGGTGCTGCATTGAATGCCATTGAGGATGAGGTGGTCTAAATGGGCGTCCAGGTAGGTTCGAGCAGCGTGTATAATTCCCCCTGTCGCGCGAGGGATGGCAACGCCAAATTGCAGCGATGCCAAGTGTGATTTCGCTGCTGCTGACGCGAGGAAAGGAGCCAATTGAAGGCGCTGAACGCACTGAAGGCATACGCCGACAGTGGTAGGGCGCCAGGCCCGCGGCAGGCCTCCAGGTGGTGCCACTTGCAGGCTTGGTGATCGCTAGCAGTGCGAGGCAGTTAGGAGGGCCGACGCTCTGCAGGAGAGACGCTCCGCAGGAGATCAGTGTTCAGGAGGGCGTGGAGATGGGTGAGGACGCCCTCTTTTGTTTTAAGTAGGCTCAGAACACGCTCTGCAGGAGAGACGCAGGTGTGCCGCGCAGCCCCTCAAACAGGTATAGACGCCCAGGTAGAGCATTGTTGACGGAGGCGTGACGATGGGTGAGGACGTCCTCTTTCTTTTGTGACAGCGGCGTCACGAATGATAGCAGATCTCCAGGTGACAGCACAGCACCTGCGTTCGTGAGGGAGGAGTCACGAATACCTGGGCTCAAAGGTGGCTCCTGATGGGCCTGCCCTGCCCCTTCTCTGTCTGTGCACTGGGCAATGATTCTGCAGATGGTTGGGTTTTGAGACGTCTCAAAACCCAACTCATATCACTCCCCTACTCTGTTTGTACACTGCGCAATGTTTCTGCAGATGGTTGCTGGCGTACCAGCTGGATGCTCCGCCACCCAACCTGGTGCTCAGATCTGGCCAGGTGTCGTCAGGTGCTCAGATCTGGCCAGGTGTCGTCAGGTGCTCAGATCTGGCCAGGTGTCGTCAGGTGCTCAGATCTGGCCAGGTGTCGTCAGGTGCTCAGACCTGGCCAGGTGGTCAGGTGTCGTCAGGTGTGTGGCGCATCTGCTGCAGCGGTGTAGAGGGAGCCCCTGTCTCCCGTTTGAAACTGGTCCAAACGTTTGGCGGTTGCTACCCAAATCCGGTTTTCTGGCAGAGCCGACCCGCAGTGTGAGTCTAGCAGAGCTGACCCATGCCGCGTCGCCATCAGGGTCAGCGGCCAATTGGATGAGTGGGGGCAGAAGTCAGGACGCGAAAATATCGCGGATGTAACCGGGTGGATGTCGGGCGGGGGGGAGGGGTTGGCGGGAGTCACCAAGTACTGTCAGGTCCCGTCCCGCGACGTCTGAGAAGATATTTTGGCTTGAATCTAGTTCTCCAGGTGGGGCGAAAACTGGGTCAGGGATGGGGTGGTTTGGAATTGCACGGTGCGACTTCAGATCTGTTTTGCAGGCGAGCCCCTTCTGGGTCAACCTCATCACAGGAGGTAGACTCCGAAAGCCCCTCAATCGGGGTGTATAAGATTCGTCCGGTTCCTCTCCCAGATTAGAGTGCTCACCACCCACGTCCCTTAGGCATGTGTCCAGCCGTATCCTCCGCTGCACAGCCCCTCTGCGCAACCCCCCTCTCTCCCTTTCCTACCCTCCCCTCACTCCAGATCAGAGTGCTCACCACCCATGTTCCTCAGGCATGTGTCCAGCCGTATCCCCCGCTGCACAGCCCCCCTGCGCACCCCCCGTCTCTCTCTTCCCACCTCTCTCTGCTCTCTCTCACCTCACTCCAAGCCCTTCCTTGCTCAGCCCTTCTCCTCCCGTCACCCGGTTTTCCTACTAGCTTCTCTTTTCTCCCCCCTTGAAATCCTCCCTATCATCCCCTTTTCCCCACTGCCTTTACTCCTCTCCCCATCCTCCTTTTTTCTCCCCCTTACCTCCCCCCCTGCCACAGGCCTTCCCCATAGTGGGGGCGCGCTACAGCTATCTTGACTGCCCGGAGCGAGTGGAATTTGACCGCTGTGCTGCCTGTGGTAGGGCGCTTCAACCACCACACAGTGCAGCTGCAGGTTTAACAACCCAGCACCCCACCCATGCTGCAGGTGCGGTGGAATGTATGAACAGGTTGACTCGTCCCAACCCATTCCGACCCGTCTCAACCCATCTCAACCCGTCTCAACCCATCCCAACCCGTTTCAACCCGTCCCGACTCGTCCCAACCAGTCCCGATCCGTCCCAGCCCACGCTGACCCCTCCCAAGCCACGCTCACCCGCCCATGCCGTCCGGGACTGACCTGAACTGACTCGGACCGGGTACGGGTCATAAAGCTCTGTGTCGGGCCCATGTCAGAGGGATGGGATGTCCAAACTTGAGAGTAGAAGTTGGTGAATGCAGGTGAAAGGGGCTGTCAGGCGCATGATGAGAGCAGGCAGGGCACACATTTGGGGCAGGGCAGAAAAAACTCACATCTGCTGCACGACACAGAGATTGGTTTGTGCGGCAAATTTGGTCTCTACTTCCTTAGTGCTAGTTAGACCCTCCATTTGAGCCAACAATGTTTTCACTACAATTGAAGCCAACTCCTTCAATCTTGCTCTCCTCGCAGCCCACTGTTTCAGGATCAACGGGTGCTCATACACAGTGGCCCAACTGTGCAAGAACCATGTCGCCAGTGGGCGGTTTTACCTGATTGCCAGGCCCATACATCGAAACACTAAGCTATCATGTTAACTCTGAAGGATAATAATGAGCACACCTGGGGTCTGCGACATCCAGACCCCAGAAGCCGTTCCACTCGGCTTCACGCATCTGCGAACCAGTTTGGGCACAATCTCATGAATTGCGTGAACATCACCACCTCACACACCGTAAACCAATCCCTTACACTCAACATCGCCCACGCACCAACGCCTTGCACTCTTCCTTGACAGGTCAACAAGCATCCTCGCTGTCAAAGTCCACACCACCCTTATTGTGGTGTGTACTCCTCACTGCACTCCCCACTGCACTCCTCACTGCACTCCTCACTGCACTCCTCACTGAAAAAAAAATATACCACCCGGGTGTTATCATATGCCTTTTTGGGTTGCGTAGCAACCCTTTATATTTGGTTTCACATTTTGGGGATATCATTTCAACTGTGATTTTCCATGCACTCTTTGGAGCACCTGTTTGAACTTTCTCAAATTGTGTTCAAACGGATGCCTCAAAGAGTGAATATAAACCACTCTTGAATGATATCCCTAAATGTGAAACCAAATACTATGGACGTGCGTATCATGTTGAAACCATGAACTTGTTCGACCGTCCCAGCATCATCGATTAATACGGCGGATGGTACGGCCGAGCATAATATTCTGGCTTCAACATGATTGTACAGATGAACAACAAAGTATGAAATGTGGGTGGATGCTACAAAGTGAATGTTAAAATGCATCATGCAACAACAGAGGTTGATGGGGTCGTTGAAACAGCGAAAACACGCTGTCCCATAGACGATTAACAACCTCTAATTGCATACATGACACATGCTAACACCACACTTTGAAACACACATCCCACAAACACGAATGCAAACATACGTAAAAAAACGTTCAACCCACATACGGTAACCGACAACCCACGCAACTCCACATCGAAACAAACACAACGAGAAGACATGAACACACACCCGCACGGCACACACACGCATACACAAATAGGATTGAGAGCAGACAAGCATAACAAAGAGTTGCAATAAGTTAATTATTATCAATCACTGCTACCTTGTCCCCACTTCCTCCCCCTTTCTGCCTTCCTTCTTCTCCTTCTACCATCAAAATCTCCTCCCACCCTTTTCCACATTGTCTTCTCTCTCAAATTCCCCTCAGTGCTCCCCACGACGCGTCTTGCACACCTTGCAAAACAAACAGGTCAAGTAGAAAATGAATTGTAGTCGGAAAACGGAGTGAATTAATCAATTACGAGCACGCACTTGATTTTGAAATGGAACTTGAAAAGCAAGTATGGGCTGAAATGTGATAAGAACAAAAGGAAACCGAATTTTACGACTCACAATCGTGGTTTGAAGCATAGATCCCCTGGGGTCACGCACACCACGCTGGTGTGCAGCAAGGCTCCAGCGAGCAAGGTGCATTGGTGCAACGAGATGGGCATCACCATGCTACAAGGAGCCAGAGAGTTGCACCAAGGCACCGGCAGAGGAGCAAGCGGGCTGACGTAGCAAGGCGTGAGCTCACTGCAGCAAGGCGTGAGCTCACTGCAGCAAGGCGTGAGCTCACTGCAGCAAGGCGTGAGCTCACTGCAGCAAGGCGTGAGCTCACTGCAGCAAGGCGTGAGCTCAATGCATGAGCTCATTGCAGCAAGGCGCCAGCGCGCAAGGCGCCAGCTCGCAAGGCGCCAGCGCGTCAGGCGCCAGCGGGCAAGGCGCCAGCGGGTAAGGTGCCAGCGCCCAAGGCGCCAGCGCGCAAGGCGCCAGCGCGCAAGGCGCCAGCGCGCAAGGCGCCAGCGCGCAATGCGCCAGCGCGCAAGGCGCCAGCGCGCAAGGCGCCAGCGCGCAAGGCGCCAGCGCGCAAGGCGCTAGTGTCAGAATAGTAGCGAGAATTAGGAGCCATAGCTAGGGTTTACCTAGCTAGGCAAGAGAGAAATGAACAAAAGAGAGGTTGAACTAGCAACAGTTGGGATACAAATAGGAAACCCTAAGGGGCCGTACTCACTATAGAGTACCCCACTGCAGGCTAGACAAGCATTATAATCTGACACACCCCCATAGTCAAAGTGGGGTATAATCAGTAGAGCAAACAGTCATAGAGCAGGTTCACAAGTGCAAGCAAAGCTAGAGGCATTCACAAAGGGCAAGTGAGGAGGAGGAGGCGGGACTGTAAGAGGAGAGGAGATAGGAGGCGACGGCTGAAGCTGCAGACACACGGGCAACAGGAGCGGCTGGCACAGTGGCTACCGGGACAGCGCCCCGGACTACTGGAGTAACTGGCTCGGCGGCTACGAAGAGCGGCAGGAGCAACGGACCCACGGGCGACAGGCGCAGCAGGCTCTCTGGGCTACCAGGACAGCGCCCCGGACTACAGGTGCTGCGGACGACAAGACGGCTACCTCCGCTCAACCTCCCCCGACCGTCCCACACCCCTCTCACACACCCCCTGCTGAAACCCTAGCTCCACTCCCACGGCACCCCCCTTAAACCCTAAACCCTCGGCTCCCACACACCCACCCCCCTCAGCGGCAGCTGCAGCAGTGGGAGACGGAGGAGGAGGAGGAGCTGGAGGTTACCCACACCGGTCACCCCCATGCCCGTCACCCCCAAACCCTAACGCAGGCAGGAGCGCGGGAAGCAGCAGGGGCTGTTCACGGAGGGAAAGGGAGGCGGCGGGGGGTCTCCTGGGCGCCACGAAGGAGCAGGGCGCGGGTCCCCCGAGGGCGCCACGGCGGGTGACGGGAGGGGGGCCGCGCACGGGCCCCCGAGGGCGGCTCGACGGGCGACGAGAGGGGCCGCGCGCGGGCCCCCAAGGCGCCGCGACGAGGCGACGGGAGGGGGCGGCGCGCGGGCCCCCAAGGCGCCGCGACGAGGCGACGGGAGGGGGGGCGACGCGCGGGCCCCCAAGGTGCCGCGACGAGGCGACGGGAGGGGAGGACGCGCGGGCCCCCAAGGTGCCGCGACGAGGCGACGGGAGGGGCCGGCGCGCGGGCCCCCAGGGCGCCGCGACGAGGCGACGGGAGGAGGGCGACGCGCGGGCCCCCAGGGCGCCGCGACGGGCGACGGGGGGGCAGCGCGCAGGTCCCCGGGGGCGCCACGATGGGCAACGGGAGGGCAGCGCGCAGGTCCCCCGGGGGCGCCGCGACGGGCGACGGGGAGGGCAGCGCGCAGGCCCCCTTGAGGGCGCCTCGACGGACGGTGAAACCGCGACGCGCCCCGAGCGCGTGGCGGGCAGAAAAAGCCGCCACGCGCTCGGAGCGCGTGGCGGGAAGAAAAATGCAGCGCCGCGCACCACGGGGCGCGCGACGGACAGTACGGCAGCGGAAGCAGTTGGTGGGCCCGTTAAGCTAGGCGGCAGGAACATGCTCGCTCTAGATACCATGTCAGAATAGTAGCGAGAATTAGGAGCCATAGCTAGGGTTTACCTAGCTAGGCAAGAGAGAAATGAACAAAGGAGAGGTTGAACTAGCAACAGTTGGGATACAAATAGGAAACCCTAAGGGGCCGTACTCACTATAGAGTACCCCACTGCAGGCTAGACAAGCATTATAATCTGACAGCCAGCGCGCAAGGCGCCAGCGCGTTAGGCGCCAGCGCGTTAGGCGCCAGCGCGTTAGGCGCCAGCGTGTTAGGCGCCAGCGCCCGCAAGGCGCCAGCGCGCGTCAGGCGCCAGCGTGTTAGGCGCCAGCGCCCGCAAGGCGCCAGTGCGCGCCAGGCGCCAGCGCGCGTCAGGCGCCAGCGCGCAGGGCGCCAGCGCGCAGGGCCCCAGCGCGCAGGGCGCCAGCGCGCAAGGCGCCAGCGCAATGCTAAAGAGGAAACCAATGGGAGCGCAATGCTAAAAGGAAACCAATTGGCACAGAGAACTTACGAAGAAAGTAGAAAATAGGAATTCTCGGAGGGAGGAGGGAGGTAATAGGTTCGGAAAACGTAAACGCACCTGAGACAACGGCGCCTCAGAAAACAACGCGCGGTCGGGCAGAAACCCGCACTCACGCTCGTGCACCCACCAGAGGCGACAGCGGGAAGGGAGGGAGAGGCGACGGAGAAGAGGAAGGGAGAGGCTATGACGGGGTGGGAGGCAGAGGCGATGCAGGATAAGGAGCGGCGATGGTGGTTGAGAGGCAGGCAGAGGAGATGGTGGGGAGTGAGGGAGAGAATACAGTGGGACGGGAGGAGAGGCGACGGCGGGGTGTTACGAGATCAGAAAAGCTAACATGGTAGGTAGGCAAGACGGCAGGAACCAAAGTAGAGCAAGAACCAAGAACAAGAAAACAAGAATCAAGAACCAAGAATGAAGAAGAGAGGAGCGTCGAATTTGGTTTGACAGGTGTGCAAAGGAAGAATACAACTGTTACTCGTTAGAAGAGTGGATATGTTTTGTTCAGTTACAAATTGTCACATTGTAAATATGTTTGTACCGCTAATATGCTACCTTGTCTGCATGATGTTTATAAAATGGGATTGTTGCATCAAACCACTCAAAACTTGTCACCAACAGATATCCGAAACAGGTTGCATTATTTCTGCTGGTAACATGATTGGTGTGCAAAAGAAGAAGACTGAACACCACAAACTCAAAATGTTGCGACTGCAGTGAATTCAACTGAAACGAGAAACACAGTGCCACTGGGTTCAGTTCACTCCGAAAATCCTCCATGCAAGTTAGCACTCGATGTACTGTATTGACGAAGCAGAAATGAGCAGGCAGTAACAAGCAGAGACAGTAACAGTAACTTGATAGCGCAATATAATAAGAAACAGCAACACAGTAGATGGAGGTAAAAAAATTTCCCTATTAATAATCGGAAAAATATAACCATTCTCCAAATTGTTCCCTGGCAATAATCCATACATTTTCATGCGTACCAATACATATATATATATATATTTTTTTTTTTTTAAGTAATATGACATTGATAAATAGATTTACATAAGTATGATACATTATTCACCACCCTAAATGTTTCTTATACGAGAAATATAACCCTACGCAACCCTTACGACGTAAACGTCGAATCTTGTTTTTTTTTTTTTTTTTTTGAACACTACGGTTGATACTGAAGTTCGGGTTTTGCTTTTGGTGAGCACGAAGCCAGCTAAATACTGTTATTAGCCTAAAATGCTGTCAGGTGGTCTTGACCAGTCAGTGCAAATTCGCCTCTCACAGAAGATTCGCCCCTGACGTAGCAAATTCGCGCCCTGACATAACAGATTCACCCCCTGACGTAGAAAATTCGTCCCCTGACACTGTAAATTCGCCCCCTGACGCCTGAGATTTTCCGAAATCCACCACCCTACAATGCAAAGTCGCACCCTAGCATGGGAAATTCACATGGAAAATACCACTACAGGGGAATGGGGGGGGTCTTATACTGATCACCCTACGAAGGTGGGGTATAACGAATTCGAGGCTTGATAAAGCACCCCCTGTCGAAATATGTTTACATATTTTATAACTGCTTCTAGTTGTAGTGTAGGCATTATGATTTCCTGCTTGTGGTGCACCTCTCCTTGCATGTTTCTCATCTATTTGTACTTGCAATTCTACAGTGCAACCACTCTTTTGTGCTACTCTCCCTCCTTCCTCTTGACATTCACCTAGGCTAGGGTTTCTCCTAAGCCTTGATTCACCTACTACTTTGACATGGTTTCAGAGAACTTAAGCTACTAAGACCTAATGGGCCCACCGTTAGCTTCCGCCTATGCGCCACTTTTCTGCCCGTCGCGCACCCCGGGCGTGTGGCGGTTTCTGCTCGTCGTGCGCCCCGGGCGCGCGGCGGTTTCTGCTCGTCGTGCGCCCCGGGCGCGCAGCGGTTTCTACCAGCCCCGTGCCCCAGCGCGACCTGCTGCCCCGTGCCCCAGCGTGACCTGCTGCCCCGTGCCCCAACGCGACCTGCTGCCTGCGGCCCAGCGCGACCTGCTGCCGCAGCGTGCTACAAAAGTGGGGGGGGTGGGTTTGGGGTGGCGGGTGTGAGCACCCAGCTGCCGCTCCTCCTCCTCTCTCTCTTACTGCCGCACCTGCCGCTGTGGGGGGGGGGGGTGATGGGGTGGCGGGCTTCTGGACGCCATGTGAAGGATTGAGCAGGGACCACCTGTCAGAAACTAACGAGCAGGAATGAATGCATTGATCAGAAATGTGGTACAAGTACTAACCCTAATTGGGTTGTACCCCATATAGGCTACCCCACTACATCCTACACAACATAAGCAGCATTATAGTTTGACACACCCCCATAGGCAAAGTGGGGAGAACAAGGGGTCACAAGACAGTCAAGAAAAGCAAAGCAAGCTCAGGGTGGATCACGAAGTCACCACACACTCTGAGCACAAGCAAATGGCCACAAGGCCAGTTCACATGCAGAGTTATATATGGGAACAAGAAGTACAGTGATCATAACCTAGCAAGTGTATGCATGCAGGTACAAGTATATAGAACACAGTACAAGCAAAGTCACGAAGTGAGCAAGTGAGGGAAGTAGGCACAATGCCTATTACAGTACCGAAACGCTGATAATCACGAGGCTGAAGTGCCTTGGTGAATATATCAGTAATGTTGGCCCGAGTGGTCACGTAAGCAAGACGAAGCCGACCACGCTGCTGCATCTCTCGATCAAGGAAGTAACACAAAGCGATGCACTTTGTCCTGTTCTCCAGTCTGTGCTCCTGAAGGCAATCATAGCCTTGTTGTCTACGTACAGAACTGGAGGAGAACTAGGCAACTCTCCCAAGTCGGTCAGCAGGTAGGTGAGCTAGCGTAACTCCTCTGCAGCCATGGCCCCTGCGTAGATCTCAGCCTTACAACTAGAACTGAGAACATAAGACGAGTGTGTAGACCGCCAAGAAACAGAACCGGAGCCAAGGCTGAAAGTGTAACCCTGTGTCGATCGCTGCGTAGCCAAGTCGTCAACCCAAGAAGCGTCTGCGTGACCAGTGAGAACAACTCGACTCCGTCCTCCAAGCACGAGCCCTATGCCCGACGTACTGCACAAGTACCGTAACACCCTCTTAGCGGCCTTCCACTGCTCTGGTCGGTGTCTTCCGGGTGCAACGTAGTATGCTAGGATGCTAAGAGGGTAAGCAAGGTCAGGTCGAGTGCAGGTCATCAGGTACATGAGGCAGCCCACAAGCTCTGTATACGGGCCACTCGGCTCTACGGACTCGTCCGACGGTGGAGCTGAGAACGAGTGATCGGTAGGCAGAGGAGTGAACTATGGCAATGACCAAGTGAAGCCGAATCGCTGAAGGACCTGCTGCTCCATGTGTGACTGAGTCAGGGTGATGGTGCGGTGTGGTCCCGAGTGATCTGCAAGCCAAGATAGCTGCGCAGCTCACCCAGGTCTGTGCACGTGTGTCTCTTCTCCAGCTCCGACTTCACTAGAGTCAGTGCCTCAGTGTCAGCAGTGGCAAAAGCCAAGTCGTCAACGTACACGAGGATGTAGAACGGCGGCAGCGAAGTGTCGGTGCACAGAAACAACGACGGGTCAGCAGTCGAAGGAGCAAACCCAAGAGCCGCAAGTGTCATCCTCAGTGTGTCGTGCCACTCACGAGGCGCCTGGCGGAGACTGTAGACTGGCCGCCAGAGGCTCAACTGGGTACCTGCAGGAAACGACCCAGTAAAGCTAGGTGGGCGGCGCAGCCAGATCTCCTCGTGTAGGCTGCCCTGTAAGAAAGCTGTGCTGAAGTCAAGTGAGTGAAGCTCGTAGTCACGCTGAGCGGCGACGTGCAGTAGCACCCGAACAGTTGTCATCTTTGGGGTAGGGGAGAAGGTCTGGAAGAAGTAAACTCCTTGTCGCTGACTAAAGCCTCTAGCAACGTAACGAGGCTTGAAGATAGGCGGAGAACCCGGCGGCCGCTTCACCCTGAAAATCCACATGCCATCAACTATGTTCGCCCCAGGAGGGGGAACAGCGTCGACGTAAGTGCTTGTGGACTTCCAGGATGCCATCTCTGCGTCCATGGCTGACTGCCACTGAGAGGAGTAGGGACCCGTAATTGCCTCTGCGTAAGAGCCCAGGGTCGGGATGTTAGGAGCATCCGGGTCTCCCTCAGGTGCAAGCAACATGGACAAGAGATGAGGTACAGCAGCTGCTAAACACTAAAAGTCCTCATGCCTGTCCTCAAGGACGTCCGTGCCAAGAGCACACTCACCCCCGACGGACGGAGGACAGACAGACTCAGACTCAGCAACAAGACTAGCGGCGTAGTCGAGACAACAAGCAGCAGCAAAGTCAACAAGCTCAGCGACTGGGGCAGACGCAGCAGTGGACTCAAACGAAGGGTCGGTGACAACAGTGGCTAGGAGATGCGTGATAGTAGGACTGGCTGCACGAACTAAGTCAGACTCAGGGTCCGGACCGTCAGGAAGAGAGGACGCAGGAGGAGACGGCAGGGGAACTCGCAGTGGAATAGAGGAAGGACGAAGTGTCATACTGTGAGTGCCGGGGACAGGAGGAGGACGCGGATGCGGAGTACGACGACCAGTGCGACCAGCGCGAACAGGCGAGGCAGGGCGAGACGCAGGCTCACTACGCTCTGTAAGAGAGTCTGTCTGCTCAGTGTAAGGAGAAGGAGCAGGCAGTGGGGATTCTGGCTGTAGCTGTGGCTGCGACTGGTCAGGCGGTGGACACAGAAAGGGAGGAGTAAGGCCAGTAGAAGACGGGAGACTAAGAACCTGGCGAAGTGTCGAGCCAGGTGGCAGTAGAGACGACGGCGACGGCGGAACGAAAAACAGTCTCCGCTGCACAGTGCCTCCAGCACAGTACCGATAGCTCCCGCACCCCCAACGCCAGCAGCACCACCAGCTCCAGCAGCTCCAGTACCTCCAGTACGAGCACCTCCGGGACCAGCAGCTACAGCACCTCCAGCACCTCCAGCACCAGCAGCACCACCAGTTGCAGCAGCTCCAGTACCTCCAGCACCAGCAGTACCACCAGCTTCGGCAGCTCCAGTGCCTCCAGCACAAGCACCTCCAGGACCAGCAGCTCCAACGCCTGCAGTACCTCCAGCACGAGCACCTCCGGGACCAGCAGCTCCAGCACCTCCAGTACCTCCAGTAGCAGAAGCACCACTAGCTCCGGCAGCTCCAGAGTCTCCAGTACGAGCACCTCTGGGGCCAGCAGCTCCAGCACCTCCAACAGCAGCAGCACCACCACCAGCTCCAGCAGCTCCAGTACCTCCAGTACGAGCACCTCCGGGACCAGCAGCTCCAGCACCTCG